TAACTCAGTCGAATTTCAGCATCTTTGGGCAGGTGAGTTAGGAGTTAGAGAATGTTGCACATTGACATCATACAATAACCACTAGGGATGTTAAATTGTGATTAACTGAATAGTCGATGGAAATCCCATCGACTAATCAATTAGTCGATAAGGACTAGTGTGGCGTTCTGTCTTTGAAATGTATAAGAGCCCCAGCAGGGGCTCCTGTGCATCTCAAAGACTGAAACACCCCATGGAGCCCTGCTGACATAACGCTCCGTGCGGATGCTTCCAACTTTGAAATGCACAGAGCTAGAACTCGGGGGGACGGCGGGAGGAGGAACCAGCTTTTAAGCTGGCTCCCCCCAGCATACCCTCCACCCCTTTGCTGCCTCTTTGTGATAGAGGGAGCAAGGGGGGGGAAGATTTTACTTACCGGATAGTCGACTAGTTAATTAGTCGCATACATCCCTAATAACCACTGCAGGGAAACAGGCAAAACAAGCCCTGTCTTTTTACTTTCACTTTAGGTAAAGCAACATGCAGCTGAAAGCTGCAACTATGGTCAAAGTGTGCTTACCAGCCAGGCCGGATAATGGTGTATTTCCCAGATACGGACAAGTCGACCACTGTCGACCCCAGACGGCACTCTGGACTCTGGATATCTCCAATTACACCTCCATCAATGACCAAGGATAACTGAGGCCAAAGGTCACGGAATTCCTGAGACAAGACGGGAAAATTGGGTTCAGTCAACCAGACTTGAAGGGTTTTGGTTTAGTTTTTAACTAAAGTGCCACAGGTGCCGCGCAGCAGGACTCTAAAGGGCGAGAAGACAACTGTCTCAGTGCGTCTGAGCTGAACACACCGCAGATGTCGTCATTTGAACACACAATTTCACTATTTTAGGAGCTGAAATTACCCTCTAAGGACTCTCAGGGTCAGGACCTTCTGCTGCACAATCACATGAGATACACAGGAAGCATTTAAGCAGTCTGCATTTTAAACTCCCCCCATCCTCAATCTTTAGAGAGTATCTCAGCCCAGCCGCAGGGATTGTAGGCTAGAGACAAGGGGCCCTGCTACAGAAATAGCACAGCCACTGTGGAAAGGTCCTGGGGATTGCTGTACAAACAGCTTCTCCCTCCTCCTATCGGAAATCCTAGAACAGCAACTCTCCCCGGTGACCAAACCCGCCTTACCGTGACAGTCAGCGTGCTCGCCTGCGTACTGAAGTTAGCACTCGTTAAAGCCAGTGGTCCTGAGCAAGCCTGTGCCAACTCCCTAATGAAAGGGTGATTAGGAATACGAACGCCAACCAACTACAGGAGAAGAGAGGTACGTTTACACACAACAGCCAGAGAGGAGGCACTTACAGACAACACTTAGAGCTACAGATCAACCATGTATCCCATTACATTGTATGGGGCCCTGTTAACCAACTGGTGGCCTGATGGCCAGATCTTGCCCACGTGATTCCATCTCGCCACAATTTTCAGCTGTGGTTGGATATGCCCTGACACACGGCACAACCCAGACTTTTCAAGGGTAACAGGTATCATTCAGCCCCATAAGCCACCTGTGGAAAATACACACAGGCTCTAGCTTCCCCCTTCTTGCAGGAACCTCCAGTCTCCTGCCAGCCCGCAATGCCTGGTCTCTACCTGGTCTCTACAACCTAAGGGGGGACTGGGCCCGCTATCCATGCCTCCCTGTGGTCAGTGCCGCACAGACCTTACTGTTGAGGTCTGAGCAGCACACACAGGCTATGTCTATACTCGCAGCTAATTGCGCAAGTATGGCCGTTCTTGCGCAAGAATCCACAGAACGTCTACACTGCCCGCCTGCTCTTGTGCAAGGAAATTTACAGTACGGCGTGGTAAGAGAGGGCTCCTTGCGCAAGAGCTGCGCTCTTTTTTAACAGGTGTAAGCCCTCTTGCACAGGCGCTCTTGCGCAAGAGGGCAGTGTGGACACTCGGCAGGGATTTCTTGCACGAGAAAGCCCTATGGCTAAAATGGCTGTTGGAGCTTTCTTGCGCAAGAAAGCGTCCACACTGCCATGCGAGCTCTTGCGCAAAAGCACAGCGCACACATGGCAGTGTGGACGTTTTCTTGCGCAAGACTTCTTGCACAAGAACCCTTGCGCAAGATGTTCTTGCGTAAGAAGCTGCGAGTGTAGACATAGCCACAGAGACTGCAGCAAACCCCCTGCCGGCCTCTTCCCTGAGACCTGGGTAAAGAAAAGGGACACACCACCTACCATTTCAAACCTTTCTGGGGCACATGTGCCTTGATATTGCCTTGAAGTTCAACTTCTGATTTTCAGACTATCAGAGAAGGAACTAAGGTCTGAACCTTGAACAGCCTGTGGCCCTACTCAGGGCATTTCTTAGCTGCTGCTTCCAATGTTTTATTACAAATATTGGTATTGACATTGAGACTCAAGTGCTAGAAATTTTTTTCACGGGGTTCTCACTAAGACACGAACTATTATCTTAGTTAGTTTTAAAATAAAAATTTACCCCTCATTAAGGCTTTAATGGGTAAATTCTAAATCCTTTTTTAAAAAAAGGAGATCTGACTCTAGAATCTAGAATTCTATTTCAGCATATGGCTCAGAGTATCCAGTTTGGACCACAGAACAGGAAGAATAGGTCTCTCTCCCAGCTTCATAAGCTGTCTGAGGCAAGCACCCAGCACATCAAAAACTAGAACCTGTATCATATTCAGACAGGTGACAAGGACACCTACAGGTAACCCGATCCTGGTACATGTTCATTATTGACAGGGCAGGAACTAGCCTCAAGACAACATCAGTCAGCGCTGAATGCAGTGAACACAACGAATGCGAGCAGGAAGGACAGGAGAAGATTGTGACCTGACACACATCTCTGCAATCTGACATGTCCCAAAGACTTACCGACGTTAAAGGGTTCAGGTCTTTATTGAGTCCCTCAGAACGCTGCAATACTAGGGTCACAGGTCCTGGGAGTAGGTCCTGTAGCAGCTCCTCTGGTACACTGACATGACAATATCTATAAAACACATTGAGAGGCACTGAAAATTGCTGTAAGATACAGTCACAAAAGACTAGCCATCACTGGCCGGGCTTCCACGCTCCGAGTACAGCAACTCCCTCCTCTGAGCTTTTACATTTTTGCTATTGCACAGTTAGGATAAGTAGCAAAATGCAACAAAGAGATGCTGGCTCTCCCATACCAAAGCATCACACAGTGAGAATTTGGGCAGCCCCGGCCCCCTTCCCTGGGCTCTCTATCCCCATTTCAAGGTACCTGCTCTACCATAAGCTGTGCTGGACACAGATTCTAGATGCTCAGAGAAGATACAACTTAAAATCTATATTGTGAATACATTGCCACATTAGATATTAAACTGAATAATGAAGATTCAATTTACTTTTGTGATTTAAGCTACTCACATTTTGCTCAGTATGAACCATGACATCAAACTATTCCGATTTGCTTTTACTATATACCACTTTGAGTATTAAAAACTGAAAACAAAGGTGACTGTAGCTACCTGGAAAGTGCCCGAGTGCTACAAAGGAAGCCTTGCTTAAAAACAACTTTCCACTGAGATTTCATAAAGCATTTCTGATGGTTTTCCAAATGCTGTTTTTTAAAACATTGGGTCCTACTTGGGTCCCCACAGTGGCTCTAGCATTCACTGAGAGGTTAGTGTCTGGCGCCCCAGTACATGCCTACCTGTAAATATGCTCCACATCTCCAAGACAGATTGCCAGAGGTTTACCTCCATTTCGCCCTTTCAGATTATAGATATTTTTAATTGCTTGAGAGCTCTGGGCTAGACATGCTATTCCATAGACCGTGTCAGTTGGAACTGCTACCAGGCCGCCTTCCTGCAGAACGGTCACCGTGGCATTTAGGATCTCCTGCCAGCCTGTTGGACAGCAACAGTGCAGCATTTAAATCACAAAGTGAACACATGGCTCCTTCCCTGAGCTGTCACCTTGTGCCATCCCTAAGCCAGCCCCAGTGCTGCCCACATGGCGCTGGCTGTCTCAGGGTATGTCTACACTAAGAGGTTTTGTTGACAATGCTTATGTCAACACCCAAATGTCTACAAAACAAAAATCAACAGGTTTTCACACTTGCTCCTTCTGATGACAGATCATGTCCATTTTGGGGTGACCATCATCGATGGTGTGAGCAATGCACTCTGGGTCGTGTACCCCACAGTGCAGTATTGGGCGAAGGCAGAACTGATCACCGAGCATCTTGGGGATTTCCTCTGAACTCTCCCAGTCTCCTCAGCTGCTGGAAGCAGCATCATTAGTAGCTCTGTCAAAGCTGCAAGCAGCCTCTCTCTTCCCTCTGCAGCAGCGGTCTTGCTAGCACAAGGCAGAACAGGAGCAATCTAATGCAGCGTTTCTTAAACTACGTTCCGTGGAACACTGGCGTTCCATGAACAACTCACAGGTGTGCCACGACCTCTTCTTTGTTTTTGTCTTTTTTGGTCTGACAACAACTTTTTTTAAGAACATTTTCACAGGTGTTCTACATGACAAAATATCATTGTGTGCTCTTCCGTGGCCTCAAAAAGTTTAAGAAAGACTGATCTAATGATTTATTCTTTGGAGCCCCTCACACAGATAGGTGAGCTTTGAAAGGGGGAGGGGTGCAAGCCTGCAGAGATCAACACAGGGAGCAGAGCCAGCAAGGCAGGCATTGCGGGATACTGACAGACATCAATTCTATTAGGCAAAACTAACCACAGTGTCCGAATACGCTGGCTCTCTGCTGACAATAAACTGGGGGGGAGAGTAAATAAATTAATGGAGATTGACAGACATCAATTCTATTGGGCAAAACTAACCACAGTGTCCGAATACGCTGGCTCCTTGCTGACAATAAACAGGGGGGAGAGCAGGGGGGAGAGTAAATAAATTAATGGAGATTGACAGACATCAATTCTATTGGGCAAAACTAACCACAGTGTCCGAATACGCTGGCTCCTTGCTGACAACAAACAGGGGGGAGAGTAAATAAATTAATGGAGATGCCTATCTCCTAGAACTGGAAGGGACCTTGAAAGTCATCGAGTCCAGCCCCCTGCCTTCACAGCAGGACCAAGTACCATCCCTGACAAATTTTCGCCCCAAATCCCGACATGGCCTCCTCAAGGATTGAGCTCACACCCCCCCCCAGCCACTGAGCCGCCCCTCCCCTCTCACGAAGGGCTGCACGTTGTTGGGTTTTTTGGTCGCTGAAACGGGGCATTTTCCGAACGCTCCCCGGGTTGAGGCCCAAAGGCGGCTTTGGGGGGGGGGGGGCGAGACAGCGGAGG